ATCATAGAGTGTGATTTATTTTCAACTCAAAATATCTTCAAACTTACAAAATGTAAAGTTATTAGGGAGGAAAATCCATATGGATAACTGCTCGTAAAATATACGACAGGTCTGGACCACTCGTGAATTTTGTTCGTATCTGAAAAAAATCTTAGAATACGAAAAAATTGGTGAATGCCACAAATTCTCCTAAATCACTCGTACGCACAACTTAAGAACAAATCTGTGCGTACGAACGGTTCTTGCATGAGGCCCAATAATCCAATGATGACAGGAGTCGTCACAGAAGTCACATGTTTTACTGTGTATGCGTGTCACATCAGTGCTGTGTACCGTCACATTTAAAATGTAATGTGAACGTTCACACAAAAAGATCGGATTTTTTTTTCTAAAAATCCGAACTGAGCATTAAGACCTGCTGTGTGAACGTAGCCAGTGTCACAGACCTGTCATTCTGAGGCTGCAAGTACGAGTCCAGGTTACATCAGGAAAGGCAGAAGACGGTTATAAACCTTTATTTAACTGGACAAATCAAAAGGAAATAAATCAGCGAGCTTTAGCCATATAGTGTGTTTGTGTGTTTGTGTGCAGGACCTGCGCATCATGAGGAATAGGAAGGCTCTGGCCATCGCTCCCCAGTGGTACCAGTACAGAAGAAAGTCACATGACCTGCTTGCCTGGTTGAACGATATCCAACGCAGCGTGGAGCAACTTCCTGACCCCCCCGAAGGAGAGAGGGTCAAGGTGAAAGCACAAAACAGAAACTTACAAGAAAAACATGCATTTTCAAATCCATCACCACCAGATGGTTGTTACTTAATGTTTTTACTCTTCGTTAACGTCTTCCTCTTCCTCTCACTGTTTCTGTTCCACCTCGTCTGAGTTTTGTTTGTTCCCAGTTTCTGTTTTGCAGGTGCTGAAAACCTTTGTGTTCTTTATCATTTTCCTCAGTTTTACAGTATGAGCTTTTCAAGGCGACTAAAAAGGGGCAACTAATGCTAACTTTAATTATAATATACAGAGATCTATCAAACTGTATAAGAATTAAAGAAGTTCAACAATATTAATAATAGGGGTGTAAATCACCAGCTTTATCATGATACAATATTACATCGATATGTTTGGATGACGATTGGATATTTCTCGATTTCACAAAGTCTGTCGTGATATGATTTCGATTCAGTTCACTTCACATGTCTGCGATTGATATAATGCAATATCTAACACAATAACTCTGTTAGATGGACATATATCTATTCACATCGAGCATATGATGACGATATAGATCGACATTTTCATTTTGCCTCGATATAACTGAATCATGAACCATTCAAATCGATGTATCGATATAGATCGATGTATTGTTACATCTTTAATTAACAATTGTTCATATTTTTAAGCAGCTGAAGTTGCAAAATTTAAATATTTTTCTTTGAAAAGTATAACTTGCTGACTAATTTAGACTCCAYCCACACTTTTCTGGATATTCTTTTAACATTTGTGTCTGTTGTCCACAATAACTAAAAGAAAAAAAGTTTGATACAAATGAATTGCTCTCCACTAAATGAAAACTCAGTTAAACATTTGAGACTCCACGGTTACGGAAAAAATTGTAAAGGATCGCCATAATATTTAAAAACATCCCCGATTAGTTGTAACATTAGACTTTATTTGATAAACATTTATTTTAACTGTAAAATAAAAACTGTAAAAATACTGTAGGATGTTTAGTTTTTATCATTTTTAAAAATATATTTTAACACGGACGGAGCCATTTTATTTGCACACAAAGCATTCTGGGTAAATGATGACATCAACTAGGTCATCGGTGCGAGGC